TCCCACAACCCTTGTGTACCAAGATGTATAAGCTTAAACCACTCAATAAAGATGAACAAAAATACATTATGCTTTACAAGTACTGTTTGTGACACATGCAAATGACACACCCACATAGGTTTTGGTTTTTATTGTGGGGTTTCTATGTAGTTCATTTTTGGAAGGCTGTAGTCCCATATCCGCAAGCAGTATTCAAGCTCTATCATCTATCTGCATTTCCAAAGATTGTCTATTTTTCATGCTCCCAGCTTTTTAGGAATAATTTGGAATTTTCAACACACCTGCACACCAATGCACAAGGCCAAAAGAGACATGGATGATTGTGTTTAAAGGAATAACCTGACTGCTGCACATGGCCCTGGCCTCAGTTAAAGAAATTACCTTTGGGGTGAATTGCAGCAAATATTGTGAACCACATCATCTCTCCCAACTTCAATGTCTGAGGTGAAAATGCACTACTAGAAGAATGGTTAAAGTTAAACACACCTCTAAACCTTGTCAAGAACTTACTAAGAAGATTCAAAACTGTCATGGTTGCAAAATATCTTATTAAACGTGACATTTTGTGAGGGGAAATGAGAAAAAAATTGTTTAGGATTGAGGCAAAAATGTATTTGTCTAAAATAAGATAAAATAAACATGTGTTCTATGTGTAACATTGAATTTAAACTGATTTCTTTAACACCCATTTAGGACCTATGGAGTTTTGGCTGTTCTCACCAGTATAAGCACAGAGTGGTCTAGACACAATACTAGCTTGATATAGTTCATAATTTGGCGCTAAGGTTTGGAGTAATGGCAAAAAGGGCTTTCATCTCCCAAAATATTGGAGTCCACCAAAATATAACTAACCAACAAAGTGAAGAATGCAAAAAGCTTGAAAACTGTGACAGAAATCATCTTAATGCCAATTAAGACTGGAGAGTTAATTGAATCTGCAATATAATTCCGATTTTGGTCTTGTTATATCTAACGAGAGTAAAACATTAAATTTCAAACCTCCGCCGTGAGTTTGCCATCACATGAAAGGGAAGAGAAATATAAAGGGAGAACCAAGAAATAAGCATTTTCAAGTATGCAACAGTAAATTCCTGCAACAATATGGCTTGATCTGTTGCTCCTACTTTCTGTTCTTTTAAACCAGAATCCTTTTCCTGAATCCAGACACATGAATTACACTGACCAATTTGGGACTACAGCCTTCCAGAAAAGAACTACAAAACCAAAACATAAGAAGGTGAGGTCAAATTCATATCCCACACAGTTATTTTTGTTAAACTCCAAAAGGTCGGATATGTCTATATCTCAAACAAAGGATTGTGGGGAACCACATAGCTCCTACGATGTCAGGAGGCTCCTATGCTAACTTCTTTGGTGCTGGGAAGGATCCTGCTTCCTGGTTTTAGCTCCCACTAGCACAGTTGAAATAGCACTGATCATGAACGCACTTTCTTAGTGCCTTTACCAATTTGAGGTATTCAGATTGAGCTCAGAGTTACTCAGTTCCAGCCATCGAGGTCAGGTGTCCAGCTCCTTTGAGATGTGTTTCTGCTTCAACATGCCTAAGTTATAAAATAAGGTAATTTGCAGGATTTTGGAGAACTGCATGCTGGAGAGGACTAACCTGACCTGATTTGCTCTGCATATCCATCTGGAAACCTTCCGTTGAAGTAATTTTGGGAAGGGGCGAAAATACTGGTTAGCTGATTTGCCTATGTTGGTGATAGACGGGCCAAATAAACCAATCAGATCAACGAAGCATATGAAGTACTAACAGAGCGACGACGAAAACACAACCACAAGCCAGAGACAAGCCAATTGATAGATCAAACTCTTGCCGAAACCAGTCGGGAGAAGAGCAAAAACATCTTTTCCTCTGAGAAAAGCCTCCAGAGCAGTGTTTTGCTCTTCTTTCAGTGAAGAAATACTCTGTAATTGCGATAAAACTTGCTCGATAGCCACGCTAACGCTAGTTTCATCGGCTGAAGCCGCCATGTTCTTTAGACTGAACTGTCGCGCTTCTCGTTGCGTCACACCTCAACCCACCTCAAAGCCAACGCTGATTGGACGTTCGTTTGGTGAACGGCTCAAAATTTTCTTTAACGGAGAGTCTCCAGACTGATCTGCGAGTGAAACCTTGAAAGCTCGCGAGATCAGGATGGTCTCACGAGGCTAGGAGAGGACCTCATGGGCCAGAATTGAGACAAACGAGCTTTCAAAATCATCTAAATGAATAACGAAGCCAAGCTTGTATAAAGTTATGGTTAAATCAGAGGAAAATCTAAATAAAAAATTTTTTTCACAATTTTTGCTAAGAAAAAATTCAAACTTAGATTTTTGGTAGACTTTACACCCCTTGGACCTTTTTTCCTGCTGAAGACTGCTGAGACTGAAGCATTGGATGCAGGTCCAGCAGATTCCATAACAATTTCTTCACCACTGCCATTAGCCTGCTGAATGTTGTGTAAAATGGGTTATTTTATTTATTTAAAAAAATGTAAGTTAGAACTGTAAATATACAGTCATATGTTTATATTATTATTATTTTTATGTACAGGTGCTGGTCATAAAATTAGACTATCATGAAAAAGTAGATTGATTTCAGTAATTCCATTTAAAAAGTGAAACTTGTATATTATATTCATACATTACATACAAACTCATATATTTCAGATGTTTATTTTGTTTAATTTTGATGATTACAAATGACAACAAATGAAAATCTCAAATTCATCATATCAGAAAATTAGAATATTGTGAAAAGGTTCAAAATTGATGGCCCCTGGTGCCACACTCTAATCAGCTAATTAACTCAAACCACCTGCAAAAGCCTTTAAATGGTCTTTCAGTCTAGTTCTATAGGCTACACAATCATGGGGAAGACTGCTGACTTGACAGTTGTCCAAAAGACGACCATCGACACCTTGCACAAGGAGGGCAAGACACAAAAGGTCATCGCTAAAGAGGCTGGCTGTTCACAGAGCTCAGTGTCCAAGCACATTAATAGAGAGGCGAAGGGAAGGAAAAGATGTGGTCGAAAAAAGTGTACAAGCAAGAGAGATAACCGCACCCTGGAGAGGATTGTGAAACAAAAACCCTTCAAAAATGTGGGGGAGATTCACAAAGAGTGGACTGCAGCTGGAGTGAGTGCTTCAAGAACCACCACACACAGACGTATGAAAGACATGGGTTTCTGCTGTCGCATTCCTTGTGTCAAGCCACTCTTGAACCACAGACAGCGTCAGAAGCGTCTTGCCTGGGCTAAAGAGAAACAGGACTGGACTGCTGGTGAGTGGTCCAAAGTCATGTTCTCTGATGAAAGTAAATTTTGCATTTCCTTTGGAAATCAAGGTCCCAGAGTCTGGAGGAAAAGAAGAGAGGCACTTCATCCACGTTGCTTGAAGTCCAGTGTAAAGTTTCCACAGTCAGTGATGGTTTGGGGTGCCATGTCATCTGCTGGTGTTGGTCCATTGTGTTTTCTGAGGTCCAGGGTCAACGCAGCCACATACCAGGAAGTTTTAGAGCACTTCATGCTTCCTGCAGCTGACCAACTTTTTGGAGATGCAGATTTCATTTTCCAACAGGACTTGGCACCTGCACACAGTGCCAAAGCTACCAGTACCTGGTTGAAGGACCATGGTATCCCTGTTCTTAATTGGCCAGCAAACTCTCCTGACCTTAACCCCATAGAAAATCTATGGGGTATTGTGAAGAAGAAGATGCAATACACCAGACCCAACAATTCAGAAGAGCTAAAAGCCACTATTAGAGCAACCTGGGCTATCATAACACCTGAGCAGTGCCACAGACTGATCGACTCCATGCCACGCCGCATTGCTGCAGTAATACAGGCCAAAGGAGGCCCAACTAAATACTGAGTGCTGTACATGCTCATACTTTTCATGTTCATACTTTTCAGTTGGCCAACATTTCTATAAATCCTTTATTTTTATTGGTCTTCAGTAATATTCTAATTTTCTGATATGATGAATTTGAGATTTTCATTTGTTGTCATTTGTAATCATCAAAATTAAACAAAATAAACATCTGAAATATATGAGTTTGTATGTAATGTATGAATATAATATACAAGTTTCACTTTTTAAATGGAATTACTGAAATCAATCTACTTTTTCATGATATTCTAATTTTATGACCAGCACCTGTATTTTAATACTGTTTTCAAGACTGCACTTGTCTAGAGCTGTTTAATATAAAATTTATTTTTGTTTACATTCGTGTGTAAAAAATGACAAAATAAATCTAAGTCTAATGCCAGTAAAGACCATTATTTAAATTAACAGTTCATATGTTTATTATTTATTGAAAAAGAGTATGTAGAGCTTCCAATAAGACATTTTATTTGCAATGTAGAGAAACGTTTAAAACTTCTTTGATCTGATGCTCCTTTGATGTTTTTATCATTTGTTTAAGATGGACACTGCATTGTTTTCTTTTTATTGGTACAGATATAAATGCACCAAATTATAAATGAAGCTGCAAAACAACAGTCAACCTAATGTCTATCCTCTATTTTATCTGATCAGAAATAAAGTTTCTGGTTAAATAAAAACATGAAAATCTGAATTCGCAGTATGAATTATTTAAGCTTAACAAGGTCTGACATTGACCCTTTTAGCCCATGCATCTTCCCAGCATTAATAGCTGCCATTCTATAGTCCTCTAGGAAAATTGATCTATGTTTATCCTGCAAACAGTTTTACAAAAAAATGAATAATTTAATCAAACAAGCCCCAAAAAACAAAGAATGTTGGATTTTTTTCTTTATTTCTTAGGCGCAAAAATATTTAAAACGCTCAATTCTCTATTTGGTTCTCTAATCTCTTTGATTTAAATAGACTCTTTTCCAAGGACAGATTATTCAAACATGCCTCTAATAAAGAATAACACCCCCCCTCTCGCTTTGATCCGTTTTCACTTGCCACTCACTTCACACAGATGCTAGGGCTTGACATGACCTATAAAAACAGATGTCTCACCGCTTCCACGCAAACTTCACAGCGCAGGATGCATCCAGAGCGCGCCCGGTCTCCATATCTCACCAACACAGACCCAATAATGTCCTGGATGATGTCCCCCATGCACGCGTCACTCTGTGTGGATCCAACACGCAAACACAGAGACAGACACCACAGGAATGAAACGTCCATCTCGCTGCGTCCTGCTGCAGCCACAGTGCGTGCCGCGTCCGCGCACAAATCCTGATGCCAGACGCCTCAAGTTTCACATGATGCTCTCCCCATTCAGGAGAAAGCGCTGCGTTGAAGCTGGCGTAAAGCCTGTGATGATGGTATTTATCTGAGCACCCTGCCAGGTAATTCCTCATGAGTCCTGATTTTAAAGGACATCATAATTAATCCAACAGATGGGCTTTTCTTGTCAACTGACCCGGTTTGGGAGCGTTTTGCTGGAGTTTAATGGAACAAAGACAAATCAGGACAAGGGTCAAGCCTTAGGTGCAACCAGGCTCTCTACCGCCACCCAATGGGGGAAGCTAACAATTACACAACAGCGCCTTTTCAGTCACAATTTAAGCCAGACAGGTTTATTGCCAGACTTGATATGTACAGAGGTCATCTGAGTGATGAATCATTCAGACCCTGTAAAGAAGAAGAAAAAAAATTCTGACAGTAATACTCCAACCGTAAGATGTAATCATGTTCAGAGTGCTGACTCTCATGCAGCATCGCAGTCCCTGGCGCTCTGCATGAAAGATGCAAAGGGATGCAAAAACCCGTCATGACATGTCAGCCGTCACCTTGTACTGACGTGAGTATATCTGACAGGAAGAAGTGGAACAGCATTAACCCATTTCCTCCACAAATATACCGTCTGTTCAATGGGCACTGACACATGGCTGATTGTGCAACACGGCTAACATTTTCCTCTCATTAATAAGCTTTAATGGAAATGACTCCAAGCTGATTAAGAAACAAATATTTAGCAATTCATCTGTGTATTGGTGGTTTGAGTAGTGCTGTCGTTTTAAAAGCACTTCCTTCTGTGTCTCTGTGCAGGAGTTTGTCCCTTTGGACCGTCACGGTAATTTACTGGGACTGTTTTCTGAGTGCTGCCTGGCTGCAGGGACATGAAAAACACAGCCGATGAGGTGGGGCTGAGAGCGGGAAGGTCTCTGAGTTGAAATGCAGTGCTGGCCTATATTTTAGAGCGCCGCTGTTTTTCCGTGTTCAAAGGTTCCTGCTTTCACACCACACTGGCATGCTCTCTATAGTCATCTCTTTACTGGACATACAATGCCTTGAAAAGTCATTCTTATGTCTTGAACTTTTTCACATATTCTCCTTTTTACAACAAGAAGCTTTAGAGTAATTACTTAAAGTAAAAGTCCGGTCAGCAAGGAATAATCAATAGATCATTATCTATACCAAAAACTAATACGTTCACATTGATTTAATGAATTTAGCTTTAATCAGTAAAAAAATGAAAAAAATCATTTTCGTAGCGATAACTGAGTCTGGGAGCGGCCTTTTTTATGAACTAAAACTGTTTACATCTTTATTTATTTATTGGGACACAACCTATTAAAGGACAGATTCAAGAATTGTCTGACTGAATAATAAGACATTCTTAATCATAATCTTCATCCTCTGTCATGGGAGCTGGCTTGGAGCTCGTCTGCCTGGTTGTGTGTTTCCTGGACGGAGCTACCTTTTACAGTTTCCTTTTGTATCTCTGCTTCTGTCTCCTTGAACCCCAGTCGGCCTCAGCAGATGGCCGCTCACACTGAGCCTGGTTCTCCTGGAGGTTTCTTCCTTTTAAAAGGGAGTTTTTCCTCTCCACTGTCGCTGCAAGCATGCTTAGTGTGACGGATTGCCTTTGAGTCAATCAGTCAATGCAATCAACTGGTTTTCCTTAGATAGAAAACTTTGAATCAATGTGACTGGATGATCTGGTTGAACTGTAAAATGCCTTGACATGACGTGTTGTTAATTGGCGCTATAGAAATTAACTGAATTGAATTGAATTAATGAAGGTAGTGCAATAGAAGGAGACCTTAAGTTCACATCTAACTAGTGCTTTAAAAGTTCCAATATAGTGTGACGCTTTGCATTATATGAGATAATCTTAGAAATAAAAATATGGCCCCACTGAAAACTAAAACACAAATGGCTGTGCATCTAGTCTACTGTAACAGTCCAGATAAAGAGATAAAGTAAAGAGAGTTTATCAAAAAAATTGTCAAAAGGTCCTTGTTCAATGGAGCATCTGTAGAGATCCACAGCAGAGAATGTGTCAGCTGGCCGCTGATGCATTTACTCCACAAACTGGGTCATTATTTAAATAATAACCGAAATAATAATGATAGAAGTAAGATGTTTCTTTCTTCCTTCTTTTGTTTTTTTCCCCTTTTATTGTGTGATTCTGAGGACCCGTTATGTACAGTTGCAGATTTTTAGTGTAAGGTTACATAAACAAGTCAGCTTGTTTTTTGATGAAGGTGTTTTGATGAAGAAGACAGATAACGCTTCTCTACTCAAACTCGATACCTGTTGATCATTGTTACTTTCAATTCTTTTTCAGTACGCATACTGAATAAAAGGTGTGGATCCATGAGCCTCTTATCAAACGTTACCATCACATACAAGATGTATCATAAGTAGCAGCATTTCTGAAAGCGTCTTATAAACATTTCTCATCATGGCTGCAAATTTTAGAAGATGAAAAGGTAAGAGAATCAATGCATTTATAAATCAAATGAGTGCATATTTTTTATAGAAACTAAATGCATGTCTGTTATTCCAAAAAGTTTGACATCTGGAGCAAATTCTTTGTAAATCCTACAGAAAATGGCAAATTTTTATGAGTGCAAGTGGGTTTAGTTCCAGCTGCAAATCATGTTCCAATTTTTTAACAAGTTGTTTTTTTATATTGTGTAACAGGTTTAACCATTACATTTTAGTGTTTTTAATGTTCAGTTTATGCTTTGTGCAAGCCATTATTCCTTTGAGCTGATCCTCTTAGCTCGCTCCATGTGTACTTTCTTGCTTAGAAGAACACATTGAGGGTAGAGGTCAGATGATTAATTTCAGGCCACAAAGCAGGTTCACAGGCTGGTGGTTGCTTCCTCCGTTTCTCGTGCACAACTTTTGGTGGCACTCTTAGTGCATGCCTTTCCGCACACAATGTCACTGTAAGTTAGTATTGTTACTTTAATCCTTTATAGGGCAAGTTACCATTTTTGATCACTTGCAAACCTATTACAAATGGAGTCCCCCCCGTCCCTCAGTGAGGTCTAGAAGCACAAGATCTATATCCAATTATTCAGCAAAGATCCTGCTACATGGCTGTACATCATATTTTGGTATATGACCAATTAGATGAGCATTGAATGATATATTACCTACTATAAATTAAGTTGGGATAAAAAAGTCAAGAAAAAAAGTGAAAAGCTAATTGAAAAGTTAAAAAGTTAAGTTAAAAAGCGAATAAGCCTAGTTAACAATTATATTTAGGTTTATAAACTTAAAAAATCTAAGTGCAAGTATCAGTATTAATGCCTCTAAGGTTATGTTGTACCAAAAAAATTTGTTTCTTTCACTTCTTTCTTATAGTAGCACTTTTGTTATTTTTCTTAATATATTTAGGCAAGTTGGTGTTTCTTGTTATTATTTTTTTAATGTTACAAAGGTAATAAGGTATTATTCTAGATCCCAATAACACTATTGTCTTGAAATTTAGATTTTCAAAGTATTTCACAGAGTGCCCTATAAAAGGTTAAGGATGTCCCACCCATACCATTCTATTTGTAACATGCTGTCATTGAAGATAAGAACAAAATGCTTAATATTAATCAAAAGCCCAAATATTAAAAACCTAAAGGCCTAAAGATTAATGTATGAACAGGTATGGAAGGATAAAAAAATGTGCCTTCCAAATCGAAGAAAAAAAAAAAGAAAGAAGCATATGATAAAAGTGAACATTTATTTTAAAACAGCATTAAATAATCATTGAACTGAAATATTCCGTTAAAATCACAAATGTTTGCATTTAATGACAGATATTCATCAGCTGCAAACTCAAATAAATACAAATTTAAAATAAATAGATTGTGAAAATTCACATAAATAAATAGACAGAGAAAATAACTAATAAATAGCAAATGTTTAAATCAGAGCAGCGTTTCTATTTGCCGCTGTTCAGTTTTTGCAGAAAGCAAATGTAGTTATTAAAAGATGATTTTTTTTCTTTTTTCCTTTCCATTGTGCAGTTGCTGTTAGTCTGGAAGGGAAGAAGAAGAAAAGAAGGGTTCAGCTTTGGGAACAGAATTTAGCAAGTAGAACATTTATCTTGCGCTTTTAATATTTCCTTAAAACAATGATTTTTGATCATTTACCGCTTGATTCATTCCCAGAGATTTCAAGTTGGCATCAAGTTTTTCCAGCAGATCTTCAGTCCTATTGTCATGTGTCACATTATTAAGGATTTCTCTGAGCTTAAAGGTGAAGTTACCCAAACAGTGGGACTATAAAGGAAGCATAAAATAGATTTATGAAAAACATAACAAAAAACACCAGCATTTACAATAAAAAGAACAGTGAATTTAAATATTTGCAAACAAATGCAAAAAGTGCAGAAAATATGTAAAACTTACAGGATGCTTTTTCATATATTGCCCTGGAACAGAACAGTTCTTTGGCTGTAGAGAGAAAGAAAGAACATTAAATGTTTTTTTAAATGACCATGTTAATATCTATATTATCTGAAATACTTCAGGAAGAGTCGTTCCAGTGAAGCAGTGAATAAAATAAAACACAACTATAATACACCAGTATACTTACAAGTCTGACCATCGGTGAGAGGTTACGCAGGCCCTCTATAATCTCATTGTTAAGGTTGCGGTTTAGCTGAAGGCTGGAGCAGACCAGGGACAGGATCACGACAAACGCACATTTCATCATTCTTCTTCAGCGATGGGGTTCTGTTCCTTATTGATGTATAAAGGGTGCGCCTTGATATGATCGTTATCTGTCCTAACGCTATATATACAGAAGTGAGACGAAGGAAGTGTGATGTCACTGGTAGTAATGGAAAGCATGAAAAACTTCTAAGGGTGCGTGATATGCAATTCACATCTCTTTAGCATTTTGCCCCCACCCCCCCAACACCGAAGTTGTAAAAATAAGAAGAGAAAGGTTGGAAAAGACCCAAAAACCACCATGAGAAATCGCCAAGGGCATCAGGTCTGATTTTAAATTCCACAGAAAGACATATGGAGATAAATTTGTTGCATTTTTAACAAAAGTAACTGTGAACTTTCAAACAACTTCAGATTGTTTTCCCTAAAAAAAATTAAAAAAGTAATTGTGCCTTATTTTCATGAATGAATTTAATGAATTTAGTTAATGTCATGATATAGTAGCCATTGATGTGGTCTGGATGGTTT